AACTCCCATGTTCTACTTTTAGAATAATATCTCAAGATTTTCAAATTCAATCAGATCCTTAAAAAATATTGCAGCCATGTTATTTTTTATCTAGCCGTCCCTCTACTGATATTGCGTCACTTATATTTATTTATTTTTAAAGCAAAGCGCCAAAGTTTTATTCAGCAATATCACAAAATGCAAGTTTCACTACATAGCTTTTGGACTCCCCAAACCAAGCCATGTCATGGGGATATAAGAGATCATTCTTCACAAGGGTGTGAGCAATAGAGTTAGCTTCGTGCCAAATGTTGCGTTTTTTATATCGTAAATGTACGATATTGTAACAAGCAATATATTAGACATTTGAATCTGGAATATCGTTCATACGAGGACTATACTTTAATACTTAGTTTAATATTTCTAATTCCTGCTTGATGAAAACAAAGAATTGCGATTATTGTGATTGTTTTTATAACTATATCTACTAATTGTAAATAGCGGGATGCACACAAAGATCGATCTAAAATTCAAATATGGAATGAGATATTAGGGCATAATAATTTCGTCTATTGATTCACAAATCTAATTTAATGTTCGATCGAATTCTTCTACTGTATTCAATTTGCCATTCTCTAGTTCTCGTTGAACTTATTTAACTAATTCAATCTCATGTATGTGAATTAATCTTAATTAGACGCACTATTTGTTTTAAGAATTCATATAACGACCGCAATAATTAGCATATGTATTTCTACATGTTATACTAAATTACCGTATTTTAATATTTTGTCTAAATCTAAAACTCACTTCTCGATTCGTAAAAGATTCACAAAATCATTGAATTATTGATCAAGCAATTGAAAGCATTAAATACATGAATAAAATCAATATATATATATATATATATATATGCTCTTGAATAAAAGAAATAAATGGTCTCAAATATGAATCTTGTATCAAGTTTCTCTTCTTGTTCCAAATCTTGATTCCAAACCCTTGATTTGTTGTATTTCTCCTTTAATTTTGCTCTCTAATTCTCAATTTGTATCTCAATGTGTGGATCCCTTTTCAAGTGCATTTTTCTTGTATTTATACTTTTCTAAATGCTTTTCCTAGAATTTGTAGTCTTCATGTGTTCTAATTGAGCCAAAAACCCGTGCCCTAAAATGCATCAAACGATGCCTCGGTGCGATAGAAGTGGCGCCGCGTCAAATTTATGGATGCTGCTGAGGCGCCACCTTTCAGGAAAAAATGGTGGATTTTCGGTGCCGTCTCTTGGAAAAAAATTTATTATTGCACATCTTTTAGTATTTTTATCATAACTTTCTCTCTTGCTATCAAATTGAAGCAATTCAAATTAAGTTGTAAAGATAACTCAAATGGTTTTTTTTTTTTTCCAATTCGAAAGTTTACTACGCCAAAAATGGGTCTCAATCTCTGGCTAAAAATCTAAAATATACTTGTTTGATTGGAAATTGATTTTTGGAAATATTTTGATTATATTTCACTCATTTTTGACTTTTAATTAACCTCTAATATTCTCGAATCTTCATTGTGAGGTCCGACACAAATTTTGAGTATTTACACTTTAGTCTCCAAACTTTGAATCTTGCTATTTTTCGTCATTTTTCGCTTCTTTCAATTACACTTCCATTCATCGAATTTAACCTAATAAAACATTATATAATAAATTATGCTATAATT